CTGCTTGCAAGGGAAAATACTGCAGTATCTTTCCACTGTGGAGCAGATTATCTTAAATACCTGCTGATGATAACTGACATAGCAGCATTTAAAATTCTTCCATGAATTTATGGAAGAAGAGTGTTTAAATTATATTACCAAGATTTGCAGTAGATGCAAATGCCATCTTCCTTTTGGTACTGTGAGGAGGTAGTACTTGGAAGAATTAAGCTACTTGTCGAAACAAAACCAAAGCTTAAGAAACCAGCAGAGAGGACCTGAGCCCATATAAAAAGAAGTCAAGTCCAAGGAGCATTCAAGGACAAACCCAAATGCTGCTGTGGAGAGGAAGAGGATAAAAAAACCCCAGCGTGGCTGATTGTACTGTCAACAGATGAGTACTTTACTGTCAGTACTATTTTGTTGTCACCAGTGAACGTAGCTTATTTTGATCGGTTTGAAAAGAAGCCGTTCTTCCTTTCCTTCCAGCCTTCATCTGGCACTAACAAATCATGTGCTTAACCTTTGTCTCTTTGCTGATAAAGTCATCAAGAAGGAAGATCTCGCATATGAGACAAGAAGACATGCAAATTAAGACGCAATGAGATGTACTTTACACCATATGCTCTTGAGCTAGAATAAGGAGAAGTGGAACAGAGATCTTACTATTTATTCTCTTGCTTTTCTTCCGAAGTAAAAGGAGGAAAGTATGTTGTTAGTTCTTCTTAAAAGGATTCTTGTTGTCTTGTACATCCTGAAGCCTTGCTGGGATTTTGTTCTCTTATCAGTTGGCTTCTGTTTCTCAAGACCTCAGAGTCTGACCAATCAAGCGGTGACACTGCCCCATGTACTCTGGACCTGACATGTCAGGAGCTGACAATACACACTTCATTAGAACTGTGCAAGACTTGATTGTCTTATTCCCCTCCTTCCTGCCCTGCCATTCACAAAATGTAGCAAATGGTTCAGAAGGAAGAAAATACAAAGGAGGAAATAACTCTCTTCTGTATTAGATGAAACTCTGCTGCTATATATCTTTATACGTAAGAAAAAAAAATGCCTGGTTTGGGTTAAAGTCCTCTTATTACTTCTTTTACAGGATGTATAAAGCCATTGATGTTGAATTTCTAGCAAGCACCAAGCTGAATGCAGTCTGAGTAATAATCCATATTAACTTGGTTTTAATTGTTTCTACAGAAGAAAAATGCATGTTATACTATGCATCTAAGTTACTAATATATACTAATATATTACTACTGTATCTTATTGCATTGAATCCAGAAGCTATATAGCATATATTTGAGGATTATAATAGGTATGATTTAAATTGAGAATTGCAAACAAAAGTGTGTGTAAACATGAGCACATCAGCAGAAATCTGTCTGAAGTATACAAGAGTCAGTAAGATCACAAGTTTGGGTTACAGATCAGCCAATAAATAGAGAACTCCACAAAGGTGCCAGTGCCCACATAGGCACCTACAGCTGATTGAGACGTTGCATTCTCCTGGTTACATGAAATGTGACCAGTTATTTATGGCAAGATATTTGACAGTATTTACTAGGATTTATAAGTAAAAATCATGGGTTTGGTGTCCAAACATGAGTCCCTCCTAGACTGACTTGTATTAAAACAAAGTCAATCCTCCCTGCATCTAACCAACCACCAGCACAAAAAAATGAGGCTGGCAAGTAACAGTTTATAAATCTGATTGAAAGGCTTCCTCAAGGCTAGAAATTTGGTGCCTGAGTACAAATTCTAAATTTCCTGAACTTTAAGGGCTTTCCCAATGTTAAGACTTTAAAGGAAATTCTTCATATTTGTATTTTTATAATGGCAATATGTGCATGGCTTTCTAAGGTGAATAATGATCTGAATTTCAGTCAGCTATGAACATAGTCTTAGATATAATTTTTAAATGTGCATCACATGCACTAATCCCCGAATTGTGCGTATGAGCATATATGTATATATGCGGAGACACTGCACACACATGTTAGGTATTGTAGCTTGCCTCACGTGGAGCCAATCGAGAAATCTAAACAAGTACACCCTGACAATAGGTACATACCAATCTATTCTTACTGTGTTTTTCAGAATCAGATTCTGAAAGTCTGTGTTACTCACACTGTTTGCTCAGAGTCACCGGAGTCTTTGCTGAGGTGTCATGAACTTGTAATGATCATTTTTCACTTTAGCCTTACTGATTCCACCTGTAAATAAAAGGCGTTGATACGCAGTTGCCATATTTAAGGTCCCATCAGTTCTATATGTTTTGGGTTTTTTCAGAAGACAGTTGTTAACAGGCCACTACTTAAGCAAATATTTAAGTGTATGCTGTAGTCTAATATCCTGATTGTCCACTGAATCCTATATTACTAATGCACATTTATGCATCAAACACATGCTTGAAACATATTGCTGGATCAAAGTTATGCTAAGGTATATAAATCTATTTCTAATAAATACCTCAGAGTTCAGTCTACCAGCAACTACATAGGATCTCTCTATAGGCTGTTAATAGAACAGTCGTGTCAACAACCTTATAAAATTATTTTCCTTTACCAGTGTGCCTTAAATAGAGAGATATTTTACATTTTCTAACAAAAAACAACAATACAAAAATTAAGCATCCATTTCCTATCATATTTTATCATCATACCTAGTGAAATCACTTTGAAAAACAACCTGTTTACTAAATGGTTAATAATGTATGAGAGAGAAATTATAAGCTTGTAGACACAGGCTGGTCTTAGTTTAAAAAAAAAAAAGAAAAAAGATTTGTCTCATTTGCTTTCCAAACATTTGTGATGCCTGCTTGACTGACCCTCAGTCACAGCTGTGAAAACAACAGACTTTTAAGCTGCTGAACAGATAATGGGAGGAGAAAGTAACACATCATATGTAAAATGGGAATAAACAATGACACGATGAGATTGCCTCCCCTTCCTCCCAGGGCAGCTTCTGGTGTTCTTTCTCTGGTGAACAGTGTGAAGATTGCCATGCTTTTTCTCCTGATGAGGATTTGGTTTGGATTCAGTTAGACAGATGGCAAATGGCCAAGGAAAATGTATAATTTGGTGGCTAAAGTACTGCACATGGAATAACAGATTCAGTTCAGTTGCGTTTCTGTGCCACACAATAGTCTCAGCGTAGCTCCTACTGGATAGCAGCTGATACCGCAAAACCACCACACTTTATGAAATTCAGCACATTGTGGAAAATTGTAATTAGCTGATGAGGGGAGACCACAGGCTAAAATAACAAAGATGAAATGAGCGCTCAGCTGGGTGTTTCATTTAATGTACAACTTAGTTATATTGGTGAAACAGCAAAGTTTCCCTTGTAGGAGGCAATATTGTACTAAATCTGAATAGAAGTGTCCACTAGCCCCTCAACCCCCCCAAAACAGAAACAGTCACTTTTCTGGGAAAAATAAAAATAAATCCAATTGTCTATTTGGAATTAGAAGCCAAAAGAACTATTACACACATTCATACTATTGAAGTGCAGTAATAGACAATCCATGCTGGCACTTTTAAACCTGCTTTTCTCAAAACGGATCCAGTATTTGCATGCTTGGTAAAGTTGCCTTGCCCCATCTGCTTGGGGGAATGTAGGTGGGCAGGGATAACAGGCTTGAGATAACCTCCCAGCCATTATTTTTCAAGTGAATGGATTAGAAGGAAATCCATTCTGTAACTGGTATAAAGAGGCTCAGCTTGACCTCCAAGAGACAACCAGCGGTGGATAGATGAGGTGGTCAAGTAAACTTGGCTCTCCCAGGTATACCAATATTTGAGTGGGCCAGCCTTAAGCTCTTTCTTGAAAAGAGCTGCAAGGCAGCAAAAGGTAGGTTAGATGCCAGAACTCTTTCAGTCTCACAAATCACAGAATCTTAGGAGTTGGAAGGGACCTCAAAAGATCATCCAGTCCAACCCCCCTGCCAGCGCAGGATCACCTAAACTAGGTCACACAGGAACACGTCCAGGCAGGTTTTGAATGTCTCCAGAGAAGGAGACTCCACAACCTCTCTGAGCAGCCTGGTCCCGTGCTCTATCACCCTTACAGTAAAAAAGTTTTTCCTTATGTTCAGGTTGAACCTCCTGTGCTCCAGCTTGCTCCCATTGCCCCTTGTCCTGTCATTGGCTGTCACTGAGAAGAGCCTGGCTCCTTCCTCCTGACACTTGCCCTTTACAAACTTATAAACATGAATGAGATAGAATGAAATCTTCTAGCATTTTGAAATGCGTTATCACTCAGGTATAAAATAAGGTTTTGATTTCCACCAGAATACACATGTTACTTGAAAAATGTCTCATGCTTGGCATATTGGTTGAGAGCCTGAGTGGAAATGAATGAAATCTCAGACAATGGAAAATCGGCCAACATGCAATAATTTTTAGTAGGGTTTTGTGAACTAAACATTTGTTAAGTGCTAAGGATAAAGAACTTCCCAATATTAAAAGGAAACAAAGAAGTCGCCTCAAGATTTATCTGTCTTAAGTTCCTCAACAAAGTTTTGGTTTTGATTAATAAATGTGAGCATTTTTAATTTTAGAACTCAGTTACCTTATGGGTGGCCTATGACAAGTTTTTTGTATTGATCAAGTGTGAATAACAGTTTTATGTGATAGTTCCCACTTCTGAGCTCTTGATGGGAATTTTTGTAGAAGTGTATGGTTAGATGGAAAGAGTTCTGCAAACATAGAAGCTTTAACTAGGTATTTCTTTTCAAACTCACTTCTTGGTGTACTTTAGGAATGCCCTGCTTTAGAACAGTCTTTGACTATTAATAGGGTTTTTTATGGGATCTATGGGAGAGACTATTTTGCCTCCAGTCCTTATAAATATTGTGAGAGGACCCACTCGACTGCTAAAGGCAGAAAAACTGACTTCTTGGCTGGATGCCGATTTTAAACTAAAGCACAGTCATTTAACTTGATGTCTGCATTATATTCATCTGCTTATTGTGGAGTCAGTTAGTTACTTTTTCAAAAATCATAAAGGGCCTTGTTTTCAAGGGTGGAACATGCAAAAAGGACTGGAAATGTTCACTTTCTCGAAAATCGGGCCTTTTCAGTTTGTGCCTTAGGGCCTTTACCTGTAAAATTAGGTTGTAATGTTTGCTCCCTTCTGCAAAAAGCTTTGAGATTCATATGTGAAAAGCACAATGTCAGTAGTTGGGCATGGTAGTTAGGAAGTTGAGCACGAGAGCAGGTAGTTCATGCATTGCTTAAAAATGAAAGAAGTGCAAATGTGAAGAATCCCTTGCAGGCCAAGTTGGATGCAGGTCTGAAAAAGCCAGAGGGAGGTTATAAACTTCCATCGTTCTTCCTAAGAACACAAAACAAATTTAACCATTTTCTTCCCAGCCTCACAGTGCTGCTCTTCAGTGTGGTCAAACTGAGGTACTGTGGCTCTCTTGATTCTCCTGTAAAATTGATTCATTTCACTGTTCATCTTATGTGGTTTCTGTTTTCTTTTTGCCTTTAGAATTACCGATAGAGGCTGATCAACATGAAGATGGAAAGAAGGAGTGCTACTACAATCTGAACGATGCTAATTTCTGTGACAATGTGCTTACGTCCAACGTAACCAAACAAGAATGCTGCTGTACCTTGGGTGCTGGCTGGGGTGACAACTGTGAAATCTTCCCTTGTCCTGTCTTTGGAACTGGTGAGGGGAGGCCCTCTGTCCCTTTGCAAACTTTCAAAGCATTGTGTTTATGTTAACAGTAATCTGCTTTGCCTTCAGAGAGGGCTTGCCCATTAAATCCCATATTCTGTAGTGTTTAGTCATGACTTGTCCATGGGAGACTTCCCTGGAGGAAAAGTTAATAGGAATAATTCATACCCGGTATAAATCCATTGGCTTCACTGCAGTTACCCTAGGGATAAAAACAGCCTGTTACTGAACAGATTTATCTCCCAACTGGTTTTAAACAAAGAGAGATTCTCACAGAAGCTTTTTCCAGATGCTAAGGTAACATGTTAGGATTTTCCCACAAGTTGGAAAACAAAGGTAAGCATTACAGTGGTTTTGAGTCTGCAGCTATTCTTTGTAACATTGTTTCCACAGCACTATGAATTACTGATATATATTATGACATTAGTTTTACATTTTGCTACTTACTGAACAATTCAGTTAATCATGTTGTCTGCAGACTGTTGTTTAACCTCTAAATGTTAAATTAAAAAAACATAGCTGTATGATATTTGTCACAAATATTGAAAACAGAACTTGAAACATAAACAGCGATGGCTGAAATTCAGAATCCAGCTGGAAAAAATCACGTAAGAGAGAACATGTGTAAACTTTGTGAGATTAAACACTAAAGATTACATTTCACACAAATGTATCATCATGTTTAATTCCTGTTTTAACTATACTTTAGAATCAGTGAAACTGAAATGAAATACATTACATAAAGAGCCTCTCTGCTTGGATAGGTTTATTTGATTCTGTGTAGTCTTCAAGACACTTTAAATAATTTCCCTCTGTAATCCACACCATGTTCTCCTGTTGCAGTCAATTAGTGTTTTTTCCTGTGTAAGGACTGAAGAATGTGGACAGGGGCTTGTATCTCAGCTGGGGTATGTCTAGATTGCAGCTTGCAGTATAGCTCAGAGAGGCCCATGCTAGCTTTAATTAAGATAATTTGGCTACTGGTATTGTTATAACTGCAGTGCACCATGAAACTCAGAAAAGACTACATTTTCCTGCCAAGGAGCAAGAGAAATGAGTTTGCATGAGCTCTATGATGCTGTGGGTACCCTAGGTAGATCTTTCAAAGCTACCTCTGCAAACGGAGAGCAGAGGAAAGTCTGGCTGTAGCATTAGCATCCCCCATTCACCTGAAGGTGTGCACAGTTGCCTGATAGATGTGAATAAGGCAAAATGTTGCCTTAGATTTCTCAAAATACCCTGAAACACATATGTAACATATACACATGTGAGTAACTTTTTCTTAATGACATACTTTTTTTGTTTTCTCTCTCTCCTAGCTGAATTTACTGATTTGTGTCCTGAAGGAAAAGGTTTCATTCCCTCTGGAGAATCATCTTACGGGCTTCTTGCTCAGAATTACAAAGGTCAGTACTGACTTGTATTAAGTTTATTTCAGAAGTTCTGGTAGTTGACTGACTAGAAATGTGAGCCAGCAATGTCAACATATTAATTCAAATTTTATTAGGTGACAAAACCAGCTTGTGATATGAAACGTTACTGAAAATCATCATTTGACAGATTGTTAAGAATGTCAATTATACAGTCTCTGTAGCGTTCTGGTTTAATGTATACTAAGTGCTATATACTGTGAGTGTAGGTGCTGAGACCACAAACCTCAAATACTCATTTACATGTGAAATACAAAATCCACCTTAAATTCGTAAATAAATGTATGGGGAGTTGAGAGAGAGAAAAAAAAGTTCTGTTAAGCGTTAGACTTACAAGTGAAAATGAATATAAAAACTGAAGAGAAGTTCAGCAATGATGTTTTCATTTACAGCACTTCATGAAATAAGTATTGAACAAAAGATTGAAGAGAAACACGAGTGACAGAAGGCATTTGTGGGTGTGGGGGGGAGGGAGTTGGCATCACTAAGGAAGAGTGAGATCAGCGAAACTGTAATGCCACATTCTTCATCTGTTTTACTTGGAGCGAAGAGCAATGTGGTACCAAAGGAAAGAAAGGGGAACTGCAGATTCTTCCTGTCTCTGTGTGCTACAGGACTTATTCTGACAAGGGAAAGATAAAGTCATGGTCCACCAGTTTTCTCTTTCCCATTCTGACTGCGAGCACAGCGTAGCCTCTTCCACACGATTTTATTTTCCTGTGGATATCTCTGCTCCTGGAGCCCTCTGTTTAAAGTGAAATTTGCTTAAACAGAGAAGTGCATAGGCTTTATTCCATCTTGTTCCTCTGCATGGCCTCATAATAATTATGGTAACAGAGCGTTTAATGTTTTCTCCCCAGATGCTGATGAATGCCAACTCTTTGGACAAGAAATCTGTAAAAATGGCTTCTGTTTGAATACACAGCCAGGTTACGAGTGCTACTGCAAACAAGGCACATACTATGACCCTGTTAAGCTCCAGTGCTTTGGTAAGTTTATTTAAAGTGGTCTTGTCACCATAATGGTATGCAGATGGGCAAAACAAGCAGACTCGTACGGCAGGATTCCCATCAGAACTGCGGCATTCCCAGCAAGAGGAGGAACACTGGGCCTCTGAACTCCTGCAGCAGCTTTTTAAGAGGCACTGGGTCATTTCCCTTCCTTTCTGCTTGGCTGGGCAGCAATTCCAGCTGACATGGTGATGGCATGTAGAGCAGGCTTTGCTTTATTTGCTTCCTTTTTCAGCAAATTGCTCCCAGAAGTTTGCATCTCCAAAACAGCCCCTTGGACTCCCTTGAGTGCACAGCCCAGAGCTGGTACCAGCCTTTCTGCAGGCAGCACAAAGTGATTGGAGGTGGCTTCCTTCTTACGTGCACACTGCTGCTTCCCTCTGCCAGGGTACAATTTAGCGTTCTGTTCTTTGTACATGGGGTGAGCAGTGAAAGCTTGTATGTTGGATTTCACCTTCCACTTGATAAGTGTGCTGGTTTTGCTATAAAAAAATCAAAGTAATGCAGATTTCTTTTTTCCAAGGATAGGTATTTTCTACAAGGAGTTAATATGCAATGTGAAATTACAGTTCAGGTCATTGATAAGCCCATTTTAGTCTGCACAGCCTTGTACTCCTTTGGTTCTGGTATTCAACTGAAAATTGTTCATAACTGTGACCATGGCTTTTGCTTTGTAAGCAGAAAACCATGTATAATGTGCAGAATAGCATAATGAAAGGAAGTCATTTTTGCAACCGCAATAAGAGCGCCTTTCACCTTGGATTTCTATGGTTGTTCTTTGAAAAGGGTGGGTTTTTTTCCTGTTTTAATGTAATCTATTTGAATAAATGGCCTGTTCTTCCCTTTGAGCTAAATTTCTGCTTTTCTTGTCCAAGATAAAGTAAGGAATAGAACTGCTGTGGCTAGACAAGGTCATCCCTTCTCCTGACTGGCTCATGAGAAGTCTTAGAGAGTGTGCCCACCTCTAATGCCTTCTGGTACTGCCCTAAAGGGGTAGGAACATGGGAAGCAGCTGTGCTGGATGCAGAGTGTCCCTGGTACTCCAGCCCCCCCCCAGCAAGCCTCCTCTTCCAGATGCTCCCTTGTACTTGAGGATTAGAGGTCAGCATCCTGCTGCTCTGTCCTTCCCCATGGGCGCAGGCAGAATTTTGCTGTAAGCAATTGATGTTTGTGGTAATTAACAGAAGACGCTCAGGGAAATCTGCTCCTAATATAGGAAAATATAAACATGGATTAACACAATGCAACTACTTTGTGCTGGCTCTCCTTGATACATTTCCTTCCATTTTAAAGACACGGATGAATGTCAGGACCCAAACAGCTGTATTGATGGCCAGTGCATTAACACAGAAGGATCTTACAACTGTTTCTGTACACACCCAATGGTTCTGGACGCAACAGAAAAGCGATGCATCAGACCAGCAGATTCAAGTGGTATGATCCATTATACATATTACTGAAGTGAGTACGCCTCTACGAGGTGGTGCTGACATGGCTACAGTCCCCAGTCCCCAGTACGCTCAGACTGGGTCATGCTTGGAGGATTTTGGAAGGCAATGCTTGGACCATGACCAATTGATCCAGAAGGCATTGCGATGTAGGACTCCACAGGGCTCCACTTTGCCAATGCAGACAGGAGATGTGTTGGAACTTTTAATGAGATTAGGTTTGGGCTGGGGAGTCTTCGGCCCCCCCACCGATGCACCAGCCCTGCGCTTGCCTCGTTCAGAGTCATAGATGAGAGACTGCTTGCTGTCTCGCTAAGGCTGGGATTTGTGGGCTAACTCTGGAGATTCAGTTTGCAGTGCATGACTGCTTCTAAGCAAGCAAGGAATAAAAACAGCAATAACAGGATATAGGAGGAAATAGCTGATACTGTATCTGTGCTTTCAGTTTATTAATATTGAGGGTACATGGAGCTCACATTTTCAAGCTGTGGGCTGCAGTGTCACTCTTAAAGTAAGGTTTTTGCATTTTCTTTTAATTTTAGTAGCCACTGATTTCAGAAAAAAAAGTTAGGTATCATGAGATTTTTAGAAACATCTCAGAAATCCAGAGCATTACGCAGTGTGCACAGCTTTGTCTATGCCACACACATCTTTGAGAGAAATGTTACAATGAGTTTGATTGATATTGGCACTGTGTAGCCATAAATCCAGACCTCTGGTCCCTGCAACTCACAATGAATTTTCCTAAGATGCTTCTGTGAAAAGAAATGGGAATACAAACTGAATACCTGCTTTAGTCAGTCCAAATTATAAGGCTGATGCTTTTGAGGATTAACATCGTCATCCTCTTGCCTGAAACTGAAAGAACCACAGCACTTTTATTGTTCAATCTTCAGTTAAACAACCCAAGAGCAGGATTGTCCTTTGGGTTCATCTAGGACGTCAAGAGAATGCAAGGGCCCAAAGTGTCTTCCATCATGCAACACTGGGGCTGATGCAGCAATGATCTCCTCACCCAGCACAAAGCTCTCAAGCCTTGTATGGCAATGTGCCTAAGACAGAGGAGGAGGGGGCAGGCTGGTTCTTTTGCTGACAGCAGAATTTGGAGTTGGTTGCAGACGCGTGTTCTGGCAAATTCTTAGTAGAACAGGTATCTCGATTCTGATCACCTTTGCACTTTCAGAACTCACCATTTTACTCTTGAGCTAGGTTTCAATTCTATCCTCACCCATGCACCAGCGCATCATGTCAAAATGCACAGTTAATAGATATGCACAGACGAAACAGAACCTTGGTTTGTGACAGCACTTATTTTTCACTCTGTTGGAACCAAATCAAAACCTTGCAGATGTCTTTACAAAACAGTTGTGCTGAGGATTTTACATTCCAAGTGGAAGATTAAGTTTACAGTTCCTTTCCCTCTGATCAGCAGTGATCAGAGATTGCTAGGACTAGGAATTGTTCCTACTGAGATCTGTGTCAGAATTAGTATGCCTCTGAAATATTCCAGCTTTGACAAAAATACGTGGTTTTGTTAATGTTCAAAAGAACGTGACGGTAGTTCACAGCAGTGTTCTGTCTGTAACAATAGCTGTAAGTGGATGATTGGAGACCAGAAGAGCAGATCAACAATTCTTCTCCTCACCCCCCAGCACTCTCCCAGCCTCTGGCTATTTTCAGCTCAGGGGATTTCCTGAGCGTGATGCAGTTTGTCTGCTCAGTTCATGGGACTCTCTTCCAAGTATTTGTTCAGTCTCCTGTTGAGCCCATGTAAAATCTTTGTTCAACTCTGCCCTAGCTGTAAAAGTTCTTTTAGATGCCACTGACAGCAATGTAAGAAAAGCAAAATAACAACTTTAAAAGACCCATTCCATGGATGGCGTTCCCCAAATACTCACTTCTATCCTGACTCTGTTTTTTGTCAAGCTCTGTTAACTTCTGTGAGAGCAGAGCTGAGTCAATGTTAAGCATTCAGCAGTGACTGCTGATTTAGGAAATTTTATTTCTTGGGTGTCCAATCCAATGTGCTTTTGTATTGGCCTAGTAATGCCAAATCAGAACCATTTAATATTTTTGCAAAGCTGAACATTCAAGAGATGAACCACCTCAGGCACTTAAAAATGGTCATGACTTCTAAGCTTAAATTTGTATTCAGCAGAGTCTGTAAAGCTAAATTATTTTTCTAATTTAAGTTTAGGAAATTCTGCATTATGCATGTATCTTTTTTTGAAAAACAGTGCTGCAATGATGATCTAATACTGTCTTCTCCATCAGAACAAACTGAAGAAACTGAGGTCTACCAGGATCTTTGCTGGCAGCATCTAAGTGATGACTTTGTTTGTAGTCGACCTCTGGTTGGAAAGCAGACGACATACACCGAGTGCTGTTGCCTGTACGGTGAAGCCTGGGGCATGCAGTGCGCACTGTGTCCAATGAAAGAGTCAGGTAAGGAAACGTACTTGTCAGTTCTTGGAATTAAATAATCAGTTTAATCCCTTGCTTGGGCTAATATTTGGGCTAATAACATAAAAAGAGCAAAAAAATCCTAACCTTTCAAGAACTAATGGAAATTTTTGTCATTAATTAGGGGGAAATTACTACAGTCTAGATTTTGAAAAGGTAGCTGCTTTTATTTTCTGGTGCTTACAGGACCCATTTCCTTCAGGTGGAACTACCAGTGACTGGCAATTTAGAACCCTGGTAGAAGCAGGAGGGCGTTTTAAGGGTAGTTTTGTTCCTTAACGTGACTGACAACCTAAAAACCATCTATGAAAATACAGCTGCAGTTCATGTGTACTCACAGGTTACATAACTGCTTTGGATTTTTGTTGCTGGTATTAGATATTCAGATGCATTTTTCAGTGTGATATTCTGCCAGGCTGGCTGCAATTAGATGTGTTTGATAAGAACCTGGTAAGCTGTGGTTTAGAATCACTATAAACTTATCAAAGAATGAGCTGTTACTATGTGGCTGTATGCTCAGATATTATGAAATGTATAGATAAACAATTTAAGAAAGGTAAGAGAAATGGAGTACCAGCAAGGACTGAAGAATTTCTGGGGAATATAACTTAATGTTAAAGAAAGCTGACAGTCATCTTTTTAAAAGACTGTATTTTGTTTACATGTTTAGACATTATATATTGTTCTAAGATATTTCAAGTAGAAGCTGCTTCTTGTGGTGACTACAAAAGCTAAATGGATATAGAGGCCAATGTTGTCATTGACACACAGACTTATTTCTGGGGAGGAGGGGCTGGAGAAGAGAGCAGTGGAAGCAACATATGTGTATGCCGTGCTGCGCCTGAGATACGTCACCTGTGGTATATTACAGTCGGGTACCATCCTAACTTCTTCCCACATACAGACTATTCTGAGGCCTAGTTTGGATGTAGTTTTCTTACTACAAATGTGTCTCTTGGTCATATGGGTTTCCATGTAGGAATACCACGTTACACTAGTAAAGCATTTTGTTCTTATCATACCTGGATTTTTACTTTGGCTTGTGTTACTCTAACCATAATGCTCTGGCTAAAGCAGCACATGTTTTACCTTGTAGCAAGAACCCTGGAGTTAAAACTACGTAGAGAAGCTCAGTGAAGCATTAATGTGGTGGTTTGTGTCTGCTTGGGATTTATGTTTTTATAATTTACTTGCAAGGTCCCTGACCCTGTTCTTATATATCTTTACTTATTTGAGTTTGCTTTGGAAGTGCAGCAACTGCAAAAAGTGCCTGATTTTGATGATGTTGGCTGGAGTAACTGCTGGCTGATGCTTACCCCAGAAAGAGACTGAAAAAGAAAAATAGGGTGTGACAGCAGCTTGATTTATAAGATATGAAAATCTCTGAAATGTCTTTGTCAGAGCAAATCTTATAGGAGGACATTCCCAAGCATTGAATTACTACACCTGCTAGAATAACAACTGCAATGGAATGAAATGTAGGAGTAAAAATAATACAGTAGGTAATAGGAAGCATTGTTGCTATGACCTGGAGCTCCCCAGGTGGAAAGACAGAGCAGAATAAAGGAGGTTTTCTTTGTACAAAGTTCATCACATGGTGACAGTGACATAATTTTTATGTGAAGTTTCATATGTATTGAAAAGTATCTGCTTTAACTGATACAAAGAGGCATACATTGATCCGAGATACTTTAAATCATCATCATAGATTGGAACATAGATGGTTATAAAAATGAAAGTGTATTGAATCGTTGTTATATCAGAACAAACATACGAGATTATGTTTCTCAGTGGAGGTGGTATATGCTCATGCGTCCTCGCACACGTGTGCATGCACACATACGGAAACCTGGAAGCCTTTCTCTGTTTTCAGGAACATTTACCGAGAAAAATTTGAAGCTGACTGAACTGAGTAAATGATTCATTTGACATGTCTTCAGTTTGTAGCATTTAAAGTGATATCATTGGCTCAAGAGAGTGCTTTCACAGCTCTGGGCCAGCAGGTCACAGGTTCAAGTCCTGGCTGGAGAACCTGGAATTGCTCCATTTTTAAATACTTGTGTATTGTGTTGGCCAGACTTACTACTGAAGGTGTTTGCTTATTTCCCAAGTTAGGGGCATTCTGAAGAATTGTAGCACTTGTTAAAGAAGATCTCGGGATGCAAAAAGCGTTATCACTGGAAGACACTCACCATGAAATGGGTTGGATCATAGAACAGATCATTCACTGATCTATGTTTTTCTTTTACTTTGTTTATACTTCTGTTGTATTTGAGGATCTAGATGCTGCACTTAGAAAGAAGGAAATACAGGCCTACCACCATGAATTATACATTTGCAAGTCCCTTCTAAATGTCATTTCATAAAAATAACCCCTAACTTTTCTGTCTCAGCTTTCCTTGAAAGCAATTCCATTTTTCCTTACAAGATTTAAATGTCCTGTTTAAGTAGCATCTAGCATAAAACCTGTGCGAAAATAGAGAACTTTTGTAAAAACTGATAAATGAAAAAGAAATCCAGCCTTTCATCAGCATAAAAACAGAATTTGCATAGTTGCTAAGATTTCTAAAAGCTACAAATGAATGCTTGTTTAAACAAACCCCACTGAAAATGACAGTACACATCAGAGCCTGAGTCAAAAATAAGTAGCATCTGTTGAAGTATTGCAACTGAACAGCAACATCTTAACAACAGTAAGACCAGGAAGTATTTTGATGACAACATCGAGGAACAAACTCAAAATGCTAGTTCAAAATCCTGATCGAAACGGTGCAAACATGAACTGTAGTGATGTGCTGGAGTACATCTTACTTGTACAAACAATTTTGTGGGGCAGACCTTGTCATTAAATGAAGGAAGCAAAGACAGATTGTTTTCAATTACATTGGTTCTAACATTATGATCTTATGATATCACCATATTACAGACAAAGGCTTTCACAGATTGCATCCAACACCAAAATGTCAACTACCGAAATGGGCTCTCTGGGCTCATTGTGGTGTTAGGCTGTACTTGCCCAAAGAACTTTTAGTAATTATCCTCGAGAAAACTCTGTATCACTTGAGGTTTGGCATTTGCAATCTGCAATAATTGACCAATTGAGGAAAATTAGAAAATTGGATACTTTTGTTTTAGAGAACATCCTTTCTTCATTGCACCCACCCCAGAAAAAATCCTGTCAGACAACTTGCCTTCAGAAGTTCTGCTTCCTTGGTCAATTTACTGTTAGTGCCACAAGACCTACTGTCCCCATCCGGACCCTGTGCTCTAGTAACTGGCAGCAGGACAGGACCAAAGGGTTTAGCAGCTGGGTTAACACATCCATGCCACAAAACAGAGCAAGACTAAAAACATCTGGACACTAAAAGAAGGTCATACACATGGCATGTTAACCTGAATATGTAACATCTGAATTACAAACCTGCTGAGCCTCCAGAAGCTCCTGTGAGACCCTTATGGGAGAGGAGTGGATTTTAGACAAGTTGTATTGTTACAAGGTACAGGAAATTTGAAGGGAAGAGGTAGAAAAGCTAGAAAATGTTGAGTAAGGTGGTGTGCTGAGGTCAGTGTTTAATTTAGGGACACTGTCTATCTTTGCATTTGTAAAATGTTCTTGAGAAACGTGTCTTGTGCAGTACCACCTTTGCTTCAGTAACACCTTAGGATGCTAGTGAGGTGGAATTAGGTGCCCTTGAACTCAAGATACGCTGTCTGTTAAGGAGGGTGCTTTCTCCTTCTCCTTCTGTAGGTGGCTGCCTGGAGAAGTTTTAATATGGAAAAAAGGGGTAAGGTAGGACTGGGACTCTGCAGTTTTAACAGATGTTTTAATAACTATTTATTGAGGATAGGGGGACATTACTACATCTCTAACTATGAACTTGTTGGTAGTCTGACAACTGAGGTAATGTCATGAACACTTTCTTGGGTAACTGCATTCAGTTTATCAGCCTGCTTGTTTGTGGAACCTTATACATACCTTGTACTCCTTTACCGTATGTTTTAAATTCCAGTAGTTTGTGGGTTTTTCTGGAACCACTTTATGTTTAGAAGATCTGTAGAAAGGACAGTGGTAGAACTCCAGTCAGTAGATGTTACAGATTTTCTGTGGGACTAGGAGTTGCATAAAGAACTACTGAAGACTCATGCTGTACTTGACGCTTCTCTTTATCTCCACTATAGCATTTGCAAAGCCCAGACTAGAAGGCACTGGGTAACGTGGATCATCGGGAGTGTTGTATCACGTAGGGTTTCTCCTGGCCACTTTCACGTGTTGTTTTTTTTACACAGAAACCCACATCTGTGCTGGTCCTACCAGTTTCCCCTCCCATCAGGAAAGAGAAATGGGCACCCTGAGCATTAGATTCATTTGACCTGTTCTAGACATCTACTTTAGGATGAGATGGTGTCTAGTAGTGGTTGTGTCCATGGACTAAAAAGGGACGCTGGATGACTAATTCAGGTGCAGCCACTTGGAGATGCCTACATGTAGTTGTTGAATTCTACTCCTTCTGGCAGGACAGACTGTTTAGATTGCATTTTTGTTTCAAGGAATTCAGTGTACCTTTTATAAATGTAACTTTTATAAAGTTAGTTCTGGGCTGAGCTTTCATGTTATGAGAACATAGTGTTCCCTTCAAGTTCTGGCTAATGTCACTCATGAAGATCTGGAAGTACAAGGAAAACAAATGTGTGTAAAGGATGAGTTTCCATCTGTCCTCTTTTGAGATCATGGAGACCACTGTTCATCTTCCCTTTTAGGATGCCATTGTGCCTCCTTCCTTTCTGGTAAGGACTCTAGACAAATGGATTATCTCTTGGGTTCAAAATATTACAGTGATTTGGCCTTGAATATTCAAAGCCTTATACTCAGTTGTGGAGATTTTTGGCTGCTTTCATTTCTGTTGATGAAGATTTTCAGTGTTTTTTCTGAAGTTCAGGGGAGACAAGCAGAACAGCCTTGGAAGGGTTTTCCTCATGGACTCTCCCATTCCAAGTGTACACGGGAGTCAGCAAGGCATCAGAAAGCTATTTGTGAGGCTGTGGCAGAAACAGCCTGCCTTTTACTGCAACTTCTAAAAATCTACCTCAAGCAGTAGGAGAGAGAAGATTCTTTTAGGAAATTTGAGCAGCCTTAGTTGAGGAACAAAAGGTTGACTACCAAGAGGTTTTGAAATAATCAGGTTGGTAATTACATCAATTTTAACAAGAATTTTACGTCCACTGTGAGCCTTTTCTCAGCAATTTCATTTGGAGTATCTCCATGTGAGGCTATGAATATCCTTCTTAACTCATGAAAAAGTCCTTTAAGACTGATACCCTTCTCTTTTTCTTTAGCACCAAGAGTTGTAGAATATATGCGAATGCATCCATCACAAACTTCGGCTTCTGTTCATGGAGGAAGTCAAATGATCAAAATTGTCAAACAGCACAGTCTAAACGTAGAGCAGAAATATCTTCAGCTTTTGTTCACAGATGATACAGTCTCCTGAGAGAGCGCAAGTTTAACCAATTCAGGCTGTGATGTCCAGAACCTCTGGCTGGGAAGGGACATATATTATATATAATAAATGCTTTCTTGGCTTTGTCCTTCTCCCCAGTGATTTCTTCCATGGTGAAACTGTTACATTCTTAAATAATCTGAAGGGGCTGCCTTGGTTTTGATAGCTTTGGCTCCTTTTTTGTGTGTGTGATGGTAACAGTTCTGAGGAGCTGGAATAGAAATAAAGCTTGCTTTATGGGCAGGAGGTAGGATTGGCTGTGGTGCAGTTGTTTCATGGTTATGTCAGGAAAAGCTTTTTAATACAGTATTTTGCTTTAAACAGATGAAATATGGAGTATTTTTTCTGACTAGAGAATAGAAATAAGGCCTACACAGGCGTAAGCAGTTTCAACAACTGTATATGCAAATTAGATGCACATCTGCACAACTGCACTTGTACTAACAAGCACCTAAAAGCCAGTCAGTCCATCCAATTTATGCTGCGCTGCCTCTGTCAGCCTAGCTTTCAGCACCAATTACAGCTAACATCTGTGCCAGTACGCATGTGCATCTAGCTGTAATCCCCTAACATGCTGCTTTTATATGCACACATCTGACTTTAAAAATGTCCTTTACATTTTTGGAAGCGTACATCAGCTTCCTTTCATAATAGCTGTCCTAAGTCATACAACAAGCTGTCTCAGTGCTTCATTTGCAAGTTATGAGAAAAACTCAGAAACAAATGGAGCAATATAGACTAAATCATATTAAAAACACATTTTTTTTTCTCTCTTGAACCACAGCTCTATTGTCCCTGATCACAGCCAGGAGATGAGTGAGCAGACAAAATACATCCCTATAGGAAAAGGTTGTATCATTTACTGTGAATTACAGAAAATGTGTGGGGTTTTTTTTTTTTACTTTACATGAAAGATTATTTTGAAAGTGAGCATTAATTTCTGTGACAACGAAAATGTTTTTGTTATTCAAGGTAGTTACAGATTTTCCCTTGCTTTCTGCCCACTTACCACCTTCCTGATCCAAGTCTCCTACCGTCCCGTCCCTAGGGCAGTTCTCTCATTTGTGTACTTGCCGCAACTTTCTGTGCACCAGTCATGGTTTTACCCACAGGCCTCATGGCACTCTGCTCATTTAGCTCCCTTCCCTGGAAAACTGTGACCAGCACAGAACACAGTGACCCAAAATACACTATTTTTAACTTGAACTGTAGGAACATAGTATAACGAGGGGAAAAGTTTAAAACAACAGAAATTGTACGAACACATCTGTCTTGCCATAACTTGTTCTATCCTCCAGAGGGGTACTCTGATGGGTTCATTTGTCTCGGGCATCCAAGTCTCTGGTTTACCTTATTTCAAAATGCTGGTTCTTGGGATCTTTCCCGAATGTGGCCTCCGCATGCCTTTCAGTCTTTGTACTCTCCTCTCTGCCCACCATTTTCTTCCCTGGGCGGGGGGGGGAGGAAATACAAGCACAGCAAGGCGCCATAGATAACTTGTCATTGTTACTGGTCCTGAATTTCTACTGTTGGTTTCTTATATGGCCAGCTGTTGCTCTCCTTGGGTTTATCTCCCAAGCACCTAGTAACTGAATCAACACATTACAAAAGACAAGAGATAAGTCTACACTACTTGGACAACTAAAAAAAAATGTACAGTATTAAAAGAGTATTGTAGGTAATTCAAAATCATCACAGTGTGTATCAATGGTATAAATTATACATAAGGAGGATAGGCCTATACATTCTAAAGTGACTTAAGACTATTAATGCTCTGACAGCTTTTGGATTGTGATTTAATACAAATTAAAGTGATTATACAAATAATGTACAAATTATTAAAAGATTAGTATATTAATAAATGGGTAATTAAGCATAACAGACCTAAAGAGGTTAACAGATTATTACAGCTGTCTGTACAGCCTTCTGGAAGACCTTGTTATATTTACAACTCCTTGTAACAAATATGAAGTTTACAGTATGCCCTACAACAGCTCTTCATCTTTTTGTAGCCACTAATTTACTTCTAATGAGACCTAAAAATGCAGACATCCGGAACTCAACTGGCAATGGACCAGTGTGGCAGGAAACAAGTTTCTGTTGTCAACATTTCTTTATTCTTCTTTAGTTAATAAACAACTTTGCAAAGATGCAATATAAAGTAGTCTTGCACAATCTGCAAACTGTCCAACTCTCATGGACATGAGAGCTACAGCACTATGGATTTTCAAATGTTTTGATTGCTTCCTTCAGAAGAAAAACATTGCTTCTACTACCAGTATCACTGAGTGCAAAATGAGCACCGAGTAATCTCAGAAGCCAATGTCCAGGTTCTGTCCAATCTTTTCCATCGGATCACATTCATGTGGAAGAAGTAGTGATCCCTCAGACCTGCTTGCCTTGTCCCGTTGCCGTTCACTGGCTGATTTTGCATGGTGGTTTCTTCCACACAGGCCAGATGAATTAGTATTAGCATAGATTTCCTTTGCCAAGAACATTTGTGTGTACCTGCGAGAAAGTGCTTTTACACTTCTGCACAGCTTTTCTGAGTACGTATCAGAGCCCTTGGGTACATGAGCAGCTCATCACAAAGCAATGAAGGAATCAGTCTGAGAGGATAATCTGGCTGTCCCCATACATGGATGTTACCTGGGGTTAGATGTGGAGAAGGAAGAATAGGGTGCTTCTGGTCCCATGACAACTCTGAAAATGATGCTCATTATCATACTATCTCAGTGGGAAGCTGTGCATTAAGGGCTGCAAGTAACATTTTCTATGATGTGCTGTACAGTTTCTCACGATGGCTGTGCCATGGGCTCTTGGGCAGTGTACTTTTTCACCTGGGAGAGGACAGGGGTTTTTGGGTATAATTATTACTGTGTATAAATATATTCTGGAGGATGCCCATGGGAGGAAATCACATCGCACTTGAAGCAGAAGGTGGTGAGATTTACAATGATTTTTAAGTTCTCTGGGAAGTTCATTCTGCAGACTTGGACTGGCACCCGTGACAGTTCTGCGATGTGCACAGACAAGGTTTGCCTGTACCGTACACTCTTACGCTCTCAAAGAGCCAAGCTGTTGACCACAGAATTCAAACAGACTTTTTTGAACACTTTGTTGTTTTCAGTACAAAATGAAACCGTTCCAGGTGGAGGAGATACTACCTGTGAAAACAAAATGACAAGGCTGGGCAGCAAGCGGGGCTGTGCTCTGCACTGTCTAGAGGCAGTCTGGATTTATCTGACTGTTTGCTGTCTGGGACAGTTCTACACAGCATGAGGTTTCTGGCTCTGTAACCATCTGCAATTCTTGGATTTTGTATCCGCTTAAGGCTTTTTTTCCTCTCTCTCTCTCGGTGGTTTTCTTTCCCATCCTTACTCTGCCTGATTCTCAGAACACCAGACAATCTTCACAGAAACAGATGCTAGTCTGTAGCAACAGTAAAGGAGCACCTGGATTGCTGTATTATAACACCACTTCTATTTTCAAATAAATTGTCTTGTATATATTTTAGTAAATGGTAATAGAAACAGAGGTGACACAATAAATCAAATAAAAAAATCAAACTGCGTCAGCATTTCAGACATGGACTCTGTCACCTAAGATGAAGAGTTGCTTTGGTCTGTTTCAACTTGTGTAGTATAGCTATTGGAGAGAGGCACGAAAATCAGAGTGTAACTCTCTCCTGTGTATTTCCCCTTCCCCTTTAAGTTCGACAGCCAAGAAGACTTTGAACAGCACTCAAGCGTAACCTTGTGGTTTGAAGATACACTTAGCAGATGAGTGTGTGCTAGTTTAGATTTTTCAGTGTGTGATTTCTGCAGGTTGGTTGATGGTACCAGAAATACAGCCCCACCTACTCCAGTTTGCTTCCTTTGCCACAGTGACCTGGGGCAGCCTTTGTCCCCCCAGAATGAGGAGTGTGACCATAGCCATATAGGAGAGGGAAGCATTGGCAACGGGATACACAGCATCCCTCTGCTCTTGCTTCCCATGCAGGCCAGAAGAACCTGACCCATAACTTTTTGTACTTATTGACTCAAATTTGTCCCTGGTGTGATCCCTGTTATGACTTAATAGTCTGTGTTTGGCTCATTAACATTTTAACGACATTCTTCTTGAAGAGAGAATGCGTTGTGGAAATTGCAGATTTATGGTATTTCTAGGAAGATAAGTTTATTTCCAGCTAATGTGAACTACAGCTCACTGGGACTAATGTAATGCAGCCTGTGTCACAAGTGTGATTACTTTCATATCCTATTTTCTTTTCCTCCCTCAGAGGATTATGCCCAGCTGTGCAACATTCCTGTTCCAGGATCTCGACGGCCATATGGACAAGATGCTTTGGTTGACTTTGAGGAGCACTACACTCCAGAAACAAATCCATACTTTGTTGAAGACCGTAAGCAAGTTTCTCTGTTATGTAAAATACTTGAATTGAGGGTTGTAACTTGGATTATTTCCCTATAGCTGGCTTCATTCTTCTGTTTGCTTCTGAGTAATGTGGCCTGTTTATGTTTTAGTTAGTCCTATGACACTAGCTTTCAGTCAGGTGTTCTGGTTTGAGCCAGTGTTGTATAAGAGTCCAGTTGGGCTCAGAGTACAATATTAATTTTTAATACAGTGGAATAGTTTGTGCCAAGTGCACTAAATTTGTATTTACCAACAGATTTACAGCTAAAGGTCAAAAGGATTGCTAGTTTTCCTTCTCACAAATTAATTTTCCTTTGGAGCATGGGATAGATTTTTTTCGAAGTACATTTAGTTTAAAAGGGAAAAAAAATCCCTTCACGCCAGTTTTCCGTGATTTTCCAGTAGAATTTATATGGAGGAAATGGAGAGCATGCAAGTTGTTCTTGTTCAGCAGAGAAAATGTACGGCACAGTACGATCAGCGAGTATGCATGCGTATATTCTTCAGGCTAGATGGAAGGGCCTGCCAGGCAGGGTGTGAGGGATTGGATACAGCATCTCAGTTGTACTTCAGGAGTATCAGGGTTCTGTACGGGTCTGGCCCAGCTCACCGTTAAGACCTGTGGGAGAATAATGCTTACAGATGTCAGCATCTTCCTCAAAATCAGCCACCCTGTACAGGTCCAGCATATTTCATCACAGTTTTGGAGAAGTGGGGGTATCAGAAGGAACTGGTAACTCCCTGTGCTTTATATACGTGGCCTACAGGTTGATGCTATGGTCTTTACAAAGTGCTTCCCTGCAAGGAGTTATTTTTAAAGTAATTGTAATAGGTTAAAACAGGGCAGGAGGATTACAGCACAGTACTAGAAGGGTGCTATGTATTTCTTGCACGTGTTGCACTTTAGACATTTAAAATCAGCTTGATGAGTTCATTTCTATTTAGTATCTAAATGACCTTCTAGCTCGACACAGAATTGTAAAATGTCTTATTTCTTTATAACTAGATTATTTTAATTAAACAGTACTGAGTCCTGATGTCTAATTGACAGATAACAACTACCAAACACAATGAAAAGCCCCGAAAGATGACTGGGTGAAAATACTGAGTGAGGAAGCAGGACTCTGCAAGTTATAAGCAATGGTGACTAAATACAATAAAATTGTGTATGGTTTTGAATCCACAGCTGAGTCTACTGTCTTAGGGACAGAGGCTCAGGAGCTCATGTCTCTTGCTGCCATCCTATCACTGAATCAGATGCAGTGGCAAGCAAATGCCTTAGAAACCCCAAAACACACAGCTGTATGGCTGTCCTGCTCAGGCACAGTCCCTGACAAATACAGTTGCCACATGACTTCAAAGTCACAATTCTGCTGTGGTCTGTGTGAGGAACACACCACCACCTCCCGGCCTGCAGCAGGGCTACCTACTACAGTGTAGTATTTGTTACTTGTGTGGAATCAACTTCTACAGAACCAAGTACACGTATGAGAATTGCAACCCAGGTTCCATCCAGCTGTTTTGAAATAGAATATTTTGTGAAGTAGAACTTGCTGTGAGTGATAGATACTTTGGGTTTAGCTAGTTAAAATAGCAAGATCATGTATTTGTAAGAGAGAGAGAAAAAAAATATGTATATACGCGTGTACATATATCTGTGTATGTGCATATATATACACATACATTCTGTATGTCAAATAAATGGTGCCTTTTCTTTATTTTAAAAAATACCTATGTATTGGGCCAGGGAGACGCTTTTCCCTTTCTTGGCACTGTTTTCTAAATGAGCAAATATCTTCACTTTAAAGGACTCTCATGAGCCCTCTGGAAGCACTTATTAAAGCACTTAAGAACATAATGAAAATTAGTCAAGTTTCTTACTACACTGTAACCATACATCATGGCAATCTGCTCAATATCCACAGTGCTGCTGCACTGAGATGTGATTTACTAGGTCTGTGGAAAAGATTGTAATGTTTCCCACCTGATGTACATTTGTATATATCCTATGTACTGTATATGTTCTTGAGATGTGGCATGTATCAGCAAGTACTTACATCACATTATATGTTCAGCGTCTCCAGAATTTATTCAGTGTATGAGTGACCAGCATGATCTTTACTAAGCATCCCACTATACTAGAGGATAGAAATCCAGGATGGAAACAATGTGTGTAGTCAAAAAGGGGAGGGAGTGGAAATGAGTCCAGAAGAACCAAGACCGTATGGAGCAAATATAAAATAGACAGGAGAACAAGCACAAGGAAAGGGAGAAATTCATATTCCTATGTAGCACTGCAAATCTACATATCACAACTGTTGTAACAACACAAATCAGTAAACAGATTTTAGAGAAACTGACAATTTGTGGAGTCACAATATTAATTATGTTGGTTATGGGGTCGATGTAGAGTAGGATACATCTCCCCTCCACTCCAGCTCCAATTTCCCCTCCATTTCTAGGCTATATATTCATTATGCTGGTAAACCTACAACTCCCAAACGCTCTCCATTTTTTCCTCAAAAGTCATTTTGATGTGATGGGCTGCCATCTGCAGTCCTGTTACGTTACTGCTCCACAAACACACAGCTAGGTAAAAAACTTGTGCGGGACTAACAGGAGCAAATCAGTCCTGAAGAATCTCTGAACATGTGAAAATGTCAAATAATTTTTCAAGTATAAATCCTTCCTTATCCAGAAAAGCGTAACTGTCACAAATGCCGTAAGATAGGGAGCACCAAGGGCATTGGACAAACCACTGAATACAAAGACAACTCTTTTTAGCTTTGACTGTTCACCATCTCGAATTATGACAAGGAGCAATTGGTAGATTATAGGTATTTGTACTGGCGTCAGTCGCAGGAGTACCAGCCAAAGGGTTGTTAACCAAAACCACAAGAGGAAAGGAGTCTCTGATTTGTCCTTACTTTCCTTAAGGCAGTTGAGATCGACTTTTTTTTTTTTTAAGTATGTTTTCTTCCAGATAAATTAGAATGCCTCTCTTCCCCCTGCACACACCTTATTTTTCTAGAATACTGTTTTAAGGAACTCTTACTTCAAACTGCATTACCACGTCTTATCTTTGTTTCCATAAAGGTTGATACGCGTCCCAATTCAAATAAAAGGTGCTATTTAGAACACATTGATTTATCCTTTTAAAAATATACTGCCAAATTATGCAGTTTCCTTTACAAAAAAATCACATATTTTAACACAAATAAAAAACTTAAGATTTCAGAAAGTTACTGTTTTTATCTTGAAACATACCACAGCACTTTTCTAGTGCATTTAAAACTCCAGATGGTGCAGATCTGCTAAAGCTGACCTATTTTCTGCAAAGTCAAGTCACGTTCCAGTGAACTTCTGAGAGAATTCAACTCTCGTCGTACATTTGGGGATCCTGATTCAACAGCTCAACTCACTTGTTTGCCATTCTTTCTCCCCTCAGGTTTTCTGAACAGCTTTGAGGAGTTACAAGCCGAGGAATGTGGTATTCTGAATGGATGTGAAAATGGCCGATGCGTAAGGGTCCAGGAAGGCTACACCTGTGACTGCTTTGACGGTTATCACCTGGACATGGCCAAAATGACTTGTGTTGGTGAGGACAGCGTATTACTACTTCTTCTGTTAGTCTGTCAGTGGGCTCAGTCACCTGACCTACGGAGGGGCTAGAATCACAGGGTCGGAGATGATCACACAAATTGTATGAAAGCTGCCAACTTTGTTTGATTTCCTGCAAAGGGCGGTAAATACTGTACAGAAATAGCTACACTGGTGTTCCACAGTTCATCTTGGTCGTTACAGCTGTGCTCAGTGAAGAGTCTAAAAATGAGCAGACACGCATTTGTGTAACAAAGCTTAAACTTACATCAATAATTTAACACTAATGTATGGAACGAGTGTTTTTCAAAGTCTTTAGTGAGCTAAGAGGATGGAACTGGATCCAGAGCAGAACAGTGATTTTAGGAGCAGATTTTTAAAGGTGGCTGAATCACCTAAATATGCAGATAACTGCTTGGTGGGGTTTGGCCCCTGATTCTCACTAAATTCAACAGTCAACAGACCCAACTATTCCTTTCACTCTCAAACCAGTAAATCTGCACAATTACTAACCAGGGCATCTAATGACTGGCTTCAGTTAAAACAACACAACATGGGAAAGGCAAGCGTCAGTGAGAAGATGAAGCAGAACACCAACCCCCAGTGTAGAGGCCTAGTAGAAACCGTGCATGGGTGTTTCAGTTGAAGGCCTGCACTCACCTTGCGTAGCATCACGCCTGGTTACCCACAGCTGAGGTCTCCCAGCTGTATCATGATAAGCTGCCTGCATGCCTTGCAGTCTTTAGCCCTTTATGGCAAGCTGGCCTCCTCAGCCAGAAAAGATGTAGCTCCTGTGTATTTCAGGCCAATGTCGCACAATATTGAGTGCAGGTAGTTTGCTGTTCACAGCTGTTTAGCTGACAACACCAACAGCTCCTGAAGTATTTTATTCTTTTTAAATACAGGCATTATACTAAGAACTTGGAGCTTCTTTCTTATAAGCCATCCTTCAGTAGTCAGATGAAAACCTGTAAGTGGTTATTAGATTTTTGTTTTGCAGCTTAGGCTGAATTTGGACTTGGTAATTGAACAGTTTAAGGCCATTTAATACACTATTGATTTCCTGTAACTTCCGTCTCTTCCCAACTCATCTGTTACAGCTTTTGACCCAGCCTAATTCCACCTGATCTGAACTGAAAATTAAGTTCTCAGTGTATTCATATAGCAAGTTCTACTCCTGAAAAAGCTGGAAATAAACGAGTTTACCTACACAGCAGGTTTAAGTACATGTCTTTTGATGTTCTCTTTTTACAGATGTGAATGAGTGCAGCGAGCTGAACAACAGGATGTCTCTCTGCAAGAATGCCAAATGCATTAACACAGAAGGTTCGTACAAGTGTTTGTGTCTGCCAGGGTACGTACCTTCAGACAAACCAAACTACTGCACACCACTGAACTCTGAACCAGACAGTGAACTGGAGTAGAGGAAAAATCTCCATATCCTAAGCCCATATACTCTGCACTGTATAAAGAAAAGGAAGAAGAGTATTTAACTTGAGAAGAGAAGGCACCGGAGTGGCAAACGTAAGAGGAGAAAAGCATTTAGAATGTGTCAAAGGTGAGACGTGATGGGCTGGTGGTGTATCAGCTTCGCTGAAGTGACAGACCAAATGGACACATTACTCTGTATGAAAGAAAAAATCAAGTATATAGTGTGTTCATAAGGAAAAAAATCTTTGAAAATAAGCAAAAACAGTGCTGTTATTTTAAACAGAAGAGCTTTGGTTTTCTGGTTTGGTTGGTGTTTGTTGTTTTTTTTTTACTATTGCTTGATTAATTTGGCATTTAAATAGTGATGGAAATATTTTATATTACTATGTCATTTTTTGATTGTTCCGTTCCTTGCCTACTGTTTCTTTTCAGACCTTTTTTCTGATCAGTACAAAGTCTATGATACAGATATTCCTAGGCCATTTTATACGAACCGTTACACAGGGTAATGCTCCTCCTTCTCTGAAACATTGGTCAGTGACTTGTTTTTATTTGCTAGTTGTCTGCCCTGTGGAGCAGGCACCATTTGTTTTTAAACCAAATGTTTTTATACCTTGGTGAAAAGTCCTTATATTCATTTTGTATTCTGTATGGTTGTTACTGCACTTAAAATCTTTAGAACCTTTCTTGCCAAGTTCAAAGCTGCTAGTGGACAACATTGGATTCCTTTTGTACATTAAAACAAAAGATTTTAGCTCACGTCTGTATTGTAATGTGTAAATTGAACACAAGAGAGATCTTGTATGATTACCCTAACATATTAAAGCTGTATATTAAAACTCAATAAAATTACCTTTTTTTTTTTAGAAAAAAAGCTATTCACTAATTGTAGGCATTTTTTTCTTCTGTTGGTGTTTATGTTACAAAAATCAACCCTTCAAGTGTTTACAGTACTAGGATTAAGTTACATTACAGTAGTTACAGGGAGTTGTCTGGCTGGTTTTTCCTTCTCATGCTGTTTTAATGAGACCAGAATCTGAATTAGTTGATGCCTGAAGTTAGGCTTCCAGAAGGAAGACTTCAAACGCAGACCTCCAGAAACTGTTTGACTTGGAAGCCGATTCCCATGGAATTTTTCTTCTTCCCTGGTTTAGGCATGCTTCCCACTAGATCTGCATTAAGGCTCTTCAGTATGATTCAAGAAATAAAGAGAAGAGGTAGAATTTCCTTTTCTTGATGAACCGTGCCTTCCCATCAGCTCTGTTTTTCAGTGGAAGGAGAGAAAGAGATTGGGAGACTGACAGATGTTTCACTTTGACCTTCTCTAGAGTGAAGGAGTTTGCTTTGGAAATCCCAAAACAGGTCCTTTTGATATTTTCCAAATTAAACATCTTTGCTGTATCTTTCAGACCTGCCCTGCATTAAAAGGAAAAGGATAATGTGAGACTTTAAAAAGTGTGTCAAATTGAGTCAGATTGTCCAAAAATGAGATTTTTATTTCTCGTTTCACAAAATAAAAAAATTACTTGTTTTGGTTGGGAATCAGATTTCTTTTCCAATATTTAGGTCAGCCACTGAACCAAAAATATCGCAAGTTGTATTCCTTCTGGTACTGCACACTCAGTACACCTCATTAAAGCCCATGTGCCTGTTAACGTGCAGAAGCATCTGTCCCTCCCTGGGCCCCTCCATCTGCTGGAACTTGGCACTAGGACCAGTGAAGATATTGTACGTTTAAGATCTGATGGTATCTTAAAATGCAAGAAAAACATGAGGAATAAAACTGTCAGGGGAGAGGGATCTTTAAGGAGGAGACTCTTTGTAAAGTGCCTGACTCCCCTGACCTTTCTAGAATTAAGCAGAAGAAGAGTGGAGGGCCAGTTGCTCTTCTCAGTCAGCGGAGACTACAAACGCTACAGCTGCTCTGTAATTGAAAAAAAAACCACAAAATCTTGCTTATCTGCTGTGGTTAAGGAGGAAGGAAGGAAGGTCTGGTCTTACCAGGGAATTCCATAACTAATGCGCTCTTAATTGCCTTGTTTAAAGTTAATCCTATAATCTTAATAAAAAAAACCAAGTCACAGTTACAACCTTAACTGGATTCAGGGTGGGCTCTAGTCTGCTTGCTGCTGTCACAAAAATTCATAGACAAGACAGTGCTCCCCCACACCTGGCTGTGTTAACCTCTGAAAGATGGCCTAGGCCCCAAAGCTGCCACTGCAGTCAGCACCACAGCCTCAGATTTTCAACATCCCAGTACTCCCCCAGCTAGGGAATTAAAATGGCAGCACAAGGCTCTGCGTTTCCTGAGATTACACCAATATGACAGCAGAGGAAATAACACTCAAACTTCAGTACCCTTGGAAGTCTTTGCCTGGGGGCAAACACTGTACTGAACATGTAATTCTGAGCCACAAGATTGGCTCCTTGCTGATTTATTACATATTTTTAAAACAACAAGTCTAGAATAGCCTGGGACTTTGCCATTCTCAGACAATATGCACTCCAACCGCCTTACTTTGTGTTATTTCAGACAAAAAAAACCAACCCAAACCCAAGCTGTTCCATGAGCAACAAAACTAAAATGCAGCCTGAATTCCTGTAACCTTTCCTCGTACCTCTCTCCTCAGGCAGAGTAACTCCAGCTCCTTGCAGCTCTGCTACTCTCAGCATGCACAGCAGGCAGCAGCTGCGGGTGCCAGGACTGGGTGATGAATGCACATACATTGACACAACTGCTGCCAAATCAAATGTTGTCCATGCTCTCAGCAGAAAGGGTTAGTTGGGTCACTTGTCTCTAGCTGTTCATCAGGCTTCACAGCCCTCAGATTGCACTGGCCTTTTTTGTCTCGTTTGCATTACACACACACACAGTAAGTTCAGAGAGGTGGCATACACTGGCTCTGGTTCCACAGAAAACAAACCTAGGTTTGGTAGGTCCAGCCACCTTCGGTCTTCCCTGCCTGATTCAAGAGGGCAGCAGTTGACCAAAGCCCCAAGTGAAGCTTTAAAACATTTTCCACTCTTCTAGTACACACGCTATACACAGACAGACAGATATTTATCTATTTTTATCTATATATGCAAAGAGCATACTTTGTGCATGCTCCTGCCTTTCCCTTTTGCCTCTTCTTGCCTCTAATATGTCTTAAAACACACACAGGGAGCCAAAAGCAGACCAAGCAGCCTGAGCTCCACTTACATCCCAGTGCTTACCATTCCACGTTGCCTGGCTCCAGGCCTTCAGAAATGCTTGAACAAATGAACCACAACTGAAGGAATTAAGTGAAATTCAGCCAAGCTGACCTCAGCCTTTGGAGCCCACCTACTTCGCCCCAGTGTAGCAAGGCTGGTTCTGTCATTCCACTTGAAAAGCTGCAGGGCTTAGCAATACAGTTTTGATTTATAGTTAAACGATCGTTTTCTTAACATCATCATTAAGACGAGAGATTGAACACCACAGATGTAGCCATTTACTTGTTACAAGAGCTGCAGTTTAGGTGAGAGCCCTAAAAAAATACAGAAACCACCACGTACAATTCCATGATTGAAGTTCCTGAATACAGCAGAGTCTGGAACCGATTACAATTTAAACCAAATAGTACCAATACTTTTTACATCCATACAGACCCTTTAAAAAAATAGCCCTTTTTCAGCCAGCCAACTGCTGACATGGCAGAACTGAATGATGCTAGTTCCCTCATAATGCTGCTGTGTTAATGAGAATAAAGGTACTACCGAATGACAACAACACACATTTCGGCTAGAAAGACATTTGATATGAAGATACTTTCCTGCTGGGATGCTATTCAATGAAAAATTAGCCAGTGTTAAAACAATTCAAAGTGAGCACTGAAATTCCTCGGGAAAAAAGTCACAGCTGGACAGATCCTTTCAATGCAAGAGACAAAACTGGCAGTCATTAGAAATATTCAGCTAGTCAATGGCAACTGACACACTCAAACAAAGTCCTGATCAAGAGAAACTCTAAAACACTAAAGGTGCCAAAGTGGTTGTCATGAACTATTAGCTCCCAGTGAACCTCATGGGTGTTTGAATCTTGAGTTTTGGGTTCCTCACTGCCCCTTAAGTGATGTTCATATGGCAGCAGAGGGGCTCCTGGCTTGGGCCCTCTTTCCTAACTTCTCAAAAGGAAAGGTGACAGATCCCATAGGGGTGTGTCATGGGCCTGATCTGGCCAGCGATTGAACCACAGTGCATTCCTTCACAGCACACAGCAAACTTAAAAATCGCACTGCTGCTTCTGGAAGAGACTACAGTATTGTACTTTAACTGATGCCACCCACTTTGTAGTCCTGGGGACTCTGTTAAACACCAAGCAGCCCAAAGGAGCTATTAAGGAGCAATTCAAGGAAAGAGGAGGTGAATTGGTGTGTGTCACAGAGGCTACTGCTCACTTCTGCAGTCACTATTTGCTATTTATACAGCTTTTTCTAGCAGAAGATCTACAATTTACCTACAAAGCCAAGTAAGGTGTGCAAAAGAGACGCAGAATAACTAAGAGTGGGTGAATGAGGAAAATCTGCCATTTGCTGAAGGCTTCCCAATAAGTGATGATGTCTGCTTGTGAGAGAGTAACAGCGTTAATTGGGAAGGCCAAGGCCTGGTCACCGCATTCACCTGCAGCACTATCCTCGCGCAGCAGGACAGCAAGGAAATTTGGTGCCCTCCTGGGGCACCACCTCCACAGCTGGCACAGACTGTGTCTGCTCACCAAGCTGTGAAAGATCTTGAACCCCAACACCACCCCCCAACCTTTACCATTTGAGTGCCCAAGTACCAAAAAGAGAACATGTGCTAAAACAGGATTATCCTGTGCCGACCTGCATTAGTAAGTTATTTTACTATCTGGTGGGGAAAGAATTACGTAAACCAAAGAAATGCAGGATGTCAGCCATGTCAGATTGCCTTCAAGACCACTGAATCACCAGATATGTATTTTTTGACTCAGAGACTCAGTTCTGCCGTAAAGCTTTTGTCCTGAACAAGAGACACAGAGGGAGAAAATTAGGATGTTCTTATTGCTTTCTACACTGACTTTCCCTTCCCCTCAAGTCATGCTTTGCGCCACACACTGCTTTCCGTTAGCTCTGAACCAAGGGGGGGTGGAGAGGATACTGCTAGCCAGCATGGAAACTTTCTACGTGACAATTTCAGCATCACCTCCAATTTCTATCTACTCATGCTGCCAGGATCCATTCTGAGCTGGATTTTTCCAAAGCACTCCATAGGTTTAGCTCGCCTCCCACTGAAACCTATGGCACCTCCATGGATTCCAGTGGGAGCAGAGCAAAGGCTGTGCCAAGCTCCTTTGAAAAATCCCACCGTGTATGTTTAATGAGGAATGTCTCTGGCAGAAAAGTTCTGAGTACAGCTAAGCAGATTTTTTTATTTCTTTCTCATTAAAAGTTTTAATTTCTGCCATTTCTCATCCAGGAGGTAACTGCCCGGAAGGGTGGGTAGGACCTGTTCCAAAATCCCCAGCAGGATATAGTCTGTTTCCATCTAAAACTGAATTTGACTTTCCTGTCATCTCAATGGTCTCTGTCACTTTGGAAATGGGCACTGTTCTCAGGATCCACGGGTCCCCTTCCTGCTGCAGGCAGCCATCCAGCTCAGCTCCAGCCACAAGGGCATTCCCCACTTCCTGTCCCATTCCATACCCTTTTCCAGGGCCAGGCTTCACTGCAGTTCTGATCCTGCTTGTCACCTCCAGCACACTCTGTCATTTGACCCAAAGCCTCAGCATCCCATGCACTCATTCCTTCCTGGTTCATTGGCACTGGACTCCACAAAGTAGTCTGCAGTCTCTAAACACAGATTTGGCATGTGGTGAAACTGATAGCTACTATCCGGT